CCGAGCTCAAATATCTCTTTTTTCCGAGCTCATTTAATTTCGCGTCCTTCCATTTTTTCCGATGAAATGAACGGCCGTTACAAATATAAATAATTATCGGAAGGGGAAAATCAAATTGGAAAAATCCGAGTCGGATTGCTTGCACACCGGCGCACAGCTACGAGGATAACTCATTTAAAATAACAAAGAAAATAGTTTGACGAGTGAGTTCTATTACTAGAAGTGTTATGATAACTATATAAAAAACGAGAAATTACAGTAAGCAATCCTTTTTGACTTTTCACAGTAAGTGCAGAGCAATACTCAGAATAATTAGTGTAAGCCGTGCGACTCAATCGTCGCTGTCGTCATGAACATTAAACTAGGTTGTCTTTTACAGTCACAGTCGAAGATTTTAAAAAATTACAAATTTTCAACGCCGTCGCGGATCGACCAATCAATTTACGTCTCTAGGAATAACGACATCAAGGAGAAAAATGGAAACTGTGTTTTCTCATTCTATTTCTGTTGGTGAAGCAGAAAGGGTGGTTTGGCGCTAGTATTAGAAAAACTCTCATATCAGATAAATAGTCTAAATGTGCAATGTAGAATCAGTTTTTAGTCATTTTATATAGAAGGGGTGTGGGTGTGGGTGTGAGTGTGTGAGGTGGGTGTGGGTGTGTGGATGTGGGTGTGGGTGTGGGGGTGTGGGTGTGGGTGTGGGGTGTGGAGTGTGGGTGCGGGTGTTAACCTGTTGGGGGCGGACTTATTTTTTCATAAAAAATGAAATTGTGTTACCAAAATTAATTATATTTTCAAAGTCATTAATGGTCATAATTATTGCCCATAGACGTCATTTAAAACACGCAGCTGGTTTATTTTGAAACGACAAAAGCATAGGGTGTGGGTGGGTGTGGGCGGGTGTGGGTGGGTGTGGGTGGGTGTGGGTGGCTGGGTGTGGGTGTGGGTGTGGGTGGGTGTGGGTCTACGTACGGCACAAAAGGAGGCTGACACACCCAAACCCTCACCAACACTCACGCTCACACACTCACACCCACAAACCCACTCACCCACTCACATCCACACACCCACACTCACACTCACACCCACACCCACACTCACACCCACAACCACACCCACACCCGCACTCACACCCACACCTACACTCACACCCACAACCACACCCACACCCACACCCTTGATTTTTAGAACTGATGAAAAAAGAAAATGACATATTTTATCTTAGTCTTATTATTGAATATAGAATTAAGCATTAATATTCTAATGTTTATTATTATTATTCATTTTACAGATATTTTTTTGCATGAATTTATACTTTTATTTGTTATTTCATAAAGAAATTAATTTAGTGAACCTTTGCACAAATTACTTTCCAATGGAAAATCAGAACATACAGAGTACCGAGATAACTGGAAACTCGTTAAAAAAAGAGATAAAATAGGCAATAATACAAGCATAGATGATGAACATTTAATTGAACGTGATATATTATTTAAAATATTTGGTTTGAATTCATATTAGTCAATAGATTCTAAATGATCACATCATATTTCATGAAACTCATTAGATAAAATTTACTATACTAATTTATGCGGAAAACAGCATATGTGTACAAATAATATTAGTACTTTATGAATAAGAATTTCATTCGATTAACAGTAGTGTTTATTACTTCGTTGTATATACAAAAAAAAACATCACATGACATTGAAAAGTAAAAAGTCTATCATGTCAATCAATTCATATTGATATTATAATTGTTAACATAATGTTAAACTATACATCACATATTTACATATGAAAATTGCTTCTAGTTAATACATCACTTTCATGAATCACCATTCATCGTCATTTTTCTTTTTTCTCATGACGATTATTATCATAAATATGGTCATTTTTATTTTTTCGAAATCAGTTATTAAGGTATAATCATTCTTTTTTCATATGTTCATCAATATTTAGGAATAAATTGTGTCCAGAAATCATAATAAAACCGAGCAAAATTAGAATTGATTCTAATGCTTGAAGAGTCCATTCATTATTTGTAAACGTGATATAAAATAAGAAAGTCAACGTAACTCCCGAGACAATAAGTGGTAATGGAGGTAAATCAAATAATCGATAAAGTAAATAGGCATTGTATAATATTGATAAAATCACTACTAATTTTCCTAATTTCAATGAAAAACCATAAGTTACACATAATTCAGCTTCTGGATAAGTATAAAATTCTGGATATTCGACAATCAGTTGAGAACAATCTGACCTGATATATTCTAATATTTTCGATCGGTTTTGTTTAAATGCATCCAGACGCATCATGGCCCAATCCAATTGGTTTGAATGTCCTAAAAATATTCCTATGGACAAAGAACCCATGACTAATAATAATATATTAATATAAAGCAGGATCATATATGAATCAGTAGGCAATCGTTGAGACATGAATCTAAAACTGAAAGCAAAAAATATGAGATAAAGAAAAATCATATTATAGATTAGCTTTATATTTGAAATAAAAATTTTAATATCAATCAATGAAACAAATCAAATACACCAAAAAGAGAACAAACGATATAAAAAATATTGGATTATGATGTAAAGACAAATAAGACTTTTTGTATTTTGTCCTTGTTATCTACTTTATCATACAATTGACGTATTATAATCGTTGGATAAAAATTTTTTTAAATATTACTTCAAATGTTCATCAAAATTAGGTAACAAATATTGATAAAGAATTATAGGGAATCGATCAAAATTAAGATTGATTCTAGCGGTTAGAGTTCAGTCATCATTCGTATAGTTCGTATAGAATAAAGGCGTCGATGTTATTCAATCTCAATATATATATTCTTGAAAAAAAAATTGACGTCGGTATTTCGAGTACATGATCACTATAAAAACATATTTTTAAAAGAATAATAACATATTCTGACGTCAATCGGAGTTTTCTATTCTCCTGTATATTTATATTTTATTTTGCACTTATATATTCGAAAATAAATCAACTGAAATGAAGACAACACGACCAACAGATTCCCATGGACCGAATTTGGTAACTATGATTATCGTTAGTTTTTCAAATTTTCTATAACTATAGAAATACCATTTAAAAAAAAAGATTATATATTCTGATAGCGCTTGAAAAACTCTACCGTCCGATATATTTGTCTACTGTCTTGCATTTATCTATTGCAAAAATAAATTGAGTACAATGAAGACATCCTGAATTGATAAGTATAAAAATTTGCTGCTTTTTTATGCTTTTTCAAATTATAGGTACTATGAAAATAAATTTTTGAAAAAAGTTATTATAGATTCAGGTAAAACTTCAAATTCTCTATCATCTTCTATATTTTGTCTCATCTTACACTTATGTGTTGTTGAAGAATAACTTGAGTATCATACAGGCATGCTCCTTGGCAAACTGTAAAACTGGATTTTTTCGGTATCTCTTTCTTTTTTTGTTTCAGAACTTTGGAATGATCGAAAATATAATTCATTGTCAGAATATATAATAACTCTTTTTTTAAAGGTATTTCTATAATTATAAAAAATTTGAAAAGCTAACGATAATCATAGTTATCAAATTCAGTGCGTGAGAATCTGTTGATGATGTTGTCTTCATTGCAATTGATTTATTTTCTAATATATGCATACAGTAGTGACGAAAAATCCCACATCCATATGAAAACTATTCAAACCACAATCGTTCGGACTTATATTTTTATTGCAAATAGAACTTAATGAACTCTGATTGTAAGCAGTAATTGCAGGTTGACCTGCCTTAGTGCAATGGATTTCGCTTGAAAACATCGGTTTTTTCAGTGTGCTCCAGACAAGGCTTTTTGGACACTTTTCTGGTTTTCCATTATTTTGATGCATTAACATCCATTTTTCTTAAGAACAAATAAAGCTGCGTATGTCCATATTGTGTTACAGAGTGAGTACTCCAATCCATTGCAATCTTGAGGTACGAGGAAGCTTCCATTGTCTAAGACAGCCTCAGTGTGTATCTTCTCTCTATCAATGGCTACTGTCGTGAAATTTTTAAGTAAAACTTGAATACAGAAAAGCACTCATTGAAGAAAATTTCGAGGCAAAAGGTTAAATTAGACGGAGTTATAGGTCACTTTTCGACGAATTCCATTAACTCTCATGTCGAGACTACCCAAACATTATTTCATAAAGTAGGCAAACTGAAACCGTTTAATGAGATTTTCCTTGATAATAGAGGCAGCGTTGAGCTTTTGAATGAGAGATCAAATGTCGTAAGAATTGATTCCTGTGATGAAATATCCTCCTCTGTAGAAAAAAGTCTATGTTGATCTGCTAGCTTCTTTGCATGAAGGTCGATCAAGTTCATCATTAATCTTTACGATCACAGTTCATTAAGTTCTATTTGTAATAAAAATATGAGCGCAAACGATTGAGGTTTAGATAGTTTTCATCTGGGTGCGGAACTTTTTTTTTGACTACTATAAGCGCAAAATAATATATAAATACACAAGATGATAGAAAACTCCGAATGCCGTCAGAATGTTATTATTGTTTTAAAATATGTTTTTATAGTGACGATATACTCGATATATCGACTACAAGTGTTTTATTTTCAGTGTTATATATAGTTGTTTTTCATTAACGAGATCATATACTACAGATGTAACAAATTCACAAAATTCTTCATTAAGATAAATGAATTCATTACACTATGGCTTAAATAAAAATTATAATTCATAAGATTTAAAGAAAAATAAATATTATCATGGTTCCAACTCAAGATTATAATATTCAAAAAGAAATTGAACAAACCGTTTTTGTATACTTTCTTTTCTTTGTTTGAATAAAGCTTCTTTACAAATAAATTCTTTCTGAAACATTAACATATATATTAATTAATTTTAATAAATAAAATTTGTTTTTCTTTTCACATCAAATGAAACATGACATTTTTTGGTTTAGATAGAATGGTGCAGTTTTTTTTTATCAATATCATATCCCTAAGATGGATACATTCGTTCAATTCGAAGAGTTCCATAAGAAAAATAATTAAATTAATTAAAGCAAAATTTTCAATTAATCAGAATAATGAATTTTACCCAGCATTAATAATTTCATAATCTTTACCTTGTTCTATTAATATATCATATACACATAAAGTATACTTACAAAAAACAAAATAGTTCATTTTTTTTTGTGAAAAAGAGATTTATTAATTAATTTTACTTCTGATCCAATATAAAGTATAAAACTATGTTCACTAGTATGTGTTAATTGCCTAGCATAGATATAACTAACAAAACTGATATCAATCTCCTAAACGAATAAAATCATTTAGAAGATATCTCGTTTACAATTGTATAAAGATTTAGTAACTGAAAGAATGAAATAAAATCGATGTAGAATGTCTCAAATAATAAACTGTAATACAAAATTTTTAACTTATCAAATCCTATTGACATTCTTCATTAGAAATGATAAAATAGATGAAAATTCTAACAAGATTCGTGTCATAGCCAGTTTGTTCCGAAGAAACAACGACAAGAAGATTTTCTTTAGAAATGACATAACTTTTTCCCTAAAGATGATGGAAACAAGAATGTTTTTGCACTTTAAAAATATATCAGATTTTTTTGTGGAAACTCAGTCAACAGTGACTTCTTATGACATTGCAGTCTTTAGTTTTCAATCGATTTTCTCGAAATGATGATCAAAACTTTTTTTTGATACTCCTATGGGTCGAAAAATCGACTGAATAAAATGTTGTCAGATACAGACTCTACAATATCATCAGAAGTCACTGTTGAATTAATTTCAACACAAAAAACTGAAACATTTTGGATTCGAAAATGATCTTATCCATTCTTGTCCTTTCATACAAAAACTCTGTCAACGAGTCAATCATACAATGTTCTTAGTGTAAATAAAAATTTTACTTCATTAATTTCTTTTCTATTTATCATTAAACTTGTTAATCAATAATCTTTTTTATTTTTTTATTTCCTTTATATTCTCTATTTATTTTCTTCTTCAATAAAAACATTTAGTTAATAATATTCACAGATGATTTAATTATGTAAAAAATAAGTCCTGTGTCTTTCGGTTAACACATCACATCTAATGGATATTTCTATAGGA